CCAGATGCTTGGTAACTTCTTTTTCCATTTGCAGTCTTGAATGGAAAGATGTTATTCTTTATACATGAGCTGCTAACAGAAAGGAAAACAGGAAGTAAAGATAATTTTTAATTTATAAATGTCATAGACAATTGTTTTTTACTTTATTCTGACAAAATTGAACTTCAATTAATACAAGTACCATGGTTTATGGAAATATTCCATGTATCATACTAACACATATGAGTCTGGAGTTCTTTGTCTCTCTCTTTTTTTTCTCTCCCCTCAGTACTGGAGGTCAAACTTAGGACCTTGCTCTTGCCAGGCAGGCGAGGTACCACTGACCTACATCCCCAGAGATTCAGGAGTGCTTCAGCGTCTTCTGGTATGCATTGGGCTCTGTGTATGTTAGGTTGTAGGAAAGTGGAAGAAAAGACAAAGTTGGGAACTTCTGGTGCGGCCAGGAAATGGGAAGAATGAGAATCATTAAGACTGTTAAAGTATTTGGTATAGTAAGAAATGTTGTAACATATGGGTAGAGTCTGTATGTTTGGTAAGAAACCTGATTTAAACATTTTAAGTATTCTAAACCTGTTTTTTTCCCTTACAGCAGACACATAAAACAAAAAATACATTTAGTACATTAGCCAGACTGCTTTTGGGCCTTCTACCTCTCCACATTGGTGGTATATAATGTTATTGGCAATTACAGAGCAAGGAGCTTCTGCAAGGGAGGAAAGTAATTAAAAAAGATCACTTCAGGCCAAGGACACAGTATTTAAAGCTCTCAGGGCTGGGAGGGTTTTTGTGGTGTTTTTATTTATTTTTTAATTATACCCTTCATTTGATTATTAGGAAATTTTTGCCTATGTACAAATCTGAAAATGCATCCATCATATGCATTTATCCACCAAATACATTAAATATAATTTTAGAGTTTAGGCTCATATATAATATAGTACTTCCATTTCAAAAGAAACTACATAGATCATTATAGCTGAGGCACAAATTTGCCTTGGTGACTTTTTTACTTTCTTTTGTCAGCATTGAAATATCAGTTGAAAATTGTAGAAAATGAGGCTTATGATTACTGTTGAGAATTCTAGATGATTTGGAACGCTAGCCTTGTATTTACAACCTTAGCAACAAGACCTTTTGGCTCTATTTCCCAAATATACCTAAGTCAGCCTGTTCTTCTTGTCCATTATTATCATGGTACTCCAGCCCAACATTACATCTCACCTGGGCTTGTCCATCAGTAGTTTTGATGTTTTTGCTTCCTCAAATTCATGCTGAAACTGAATTTTCAATGCTATAATAATACTAGAACATTTGGCCTTTTGGAAGGCATTTATCAAGCTATAGGGGTGGAGCCCTCAAGAATGGATTGATACCCCTATAAAAGGGCATGGAAGGTGGTGTTTGTGCCCTTGTTCCTTGAGCCGAGCTGTGACCCTCCCTTCCTGAGGTCTCACGGTTCAAGGCAGTGTCTTGGAAACAAGAGACCTAGACACTCGCCAGACAAGGAAACTGCCCTGGGGCTCCTTGGGCTCAAGAATTGTAGGAAATAAATTTCTTTTCTTTATAAATTACCCAGCCTGTGTTCTGTTAAAGTGGCACTAAATATATTCAAGTGGTAGTTTAACATGTTCCCACTGGCTTGTACCACTGATGGTACAAGTGAATTTAATCACTTCTGTTTGTCTTTGTACTAACAAAATTAATAAAAGCCACCCAACGGGACAGCCATATATGTGCCCACTGGTGGTTCAAACCTACTGGCAGGGAGACTTGTAAATTACAGCCCTGTCATGAATATGTTAATGACAATATGGTATGTGAGAGGAAGTATTTAAAATAATTGTTCAACTAAGATTGGCCATCAGAAGTTTAGGTACAATTTAAATTTTTAAATACACATTTTTGAAAAACAAAGCAGTGTCTTTTAAGAGCATTTTCGTGTGGCTTAAGAGTTGAAGCATGAAAAAGTGGTTACATAGTAATGGTCACATGATCTCAAGATGCATCACTATTGGTTTGTAATGGAAATATTTCCTCTAGCTCACCCCAAAAGAATACAGTTTGATGTCTATACCAACCAAGTTTGCACATGCATACCTCTTCTGTCTTAATTCTCCAAGTGAACAATGGCAAAATGGGGTCCAGATAAGAAACTGTTAAGTCTTAATAACTGAGTGCTAAAAAACTAGAGTTGTTGCTTGTAAACACACAATCTATCAGAGCTTCTATGTAAACAATTATTTTGATTCTAGTGATAAAGAATTACAGTTTATCCTGCAAATTTTACTTTTTCTTGTCCTGCCTAGCCTTGAGTTACAAAACAACAACCTCTTCAATTTTAATTAAATGCTTTTTGTCATAGTAATTAATACTTACATAGTATATTCTATTATCAGCACTGTTGACATTTTGTGAAGAGTAACTTTCTCCAAGTCATGCAGCTAATAAGTTGCTGAGCTGAGATCCACCTTATGGAAGTTTGACCTTGGAATTCTCACGCTTCAGCACAACACAGTACAGATTTAGAAGCACACTACTCTCGGGCCGGGGATTTAGCTCAGTGGTGCTGCCACCTGCCTTGCAAGCATAAGGTCCTGAGTTCAATCCCTGGTACCCCCCCAAAAAAAAAAATACTGCTCTCTGATTCAAAACTTAGTCTAGAATATGTAAGAAACTTGTAAAAATCAATTGTAAAATAATAGCATGATATCAGTGTGGTCCAAAAATTTAGAAGATAAGCAAATGCCAATAAACATATGAAAAGATATTCTGCATCATTAATTGTGGGGAAATGCAGTTAAGGTACAGTGGGTTACCACTATGTGTATATTGCAATGAATAAAATTGAAAGGGCTGAACGCACTGCATGTCAGCGGAGATGGAGCACATGAGATCATCATACGTTATCGATGGGGTGTATGATGGCACGGCCTCTTTGGAAAATTGTTCATTTCTGGCATAGATAAACACAGCCTGTAACCCATTAATTTCATTTCTAGGAGAAATAAGAACAGCTCTACCAAAAAAAAAAAATTGTACAAAAGCTTTGTTCATATTGCCAACAGCTAGGAACTGTCCTAGTGCTTGACAGTGTAAGAAAGAATAAATTGTGATACATGTATTTAGCTAACGGACTGCTTGGTTAAAAATAAAGGGATGAACTTAGAATACACAAAACAACATAATGAGCAAAAAAAGTCAAGCAAAAAGGGTACAAATTATAATTCTGCTGGATTTCATTTTTAGGAAAGGCCCCAAGTAGGCAAAACTAATTTATACATTAGAAGTCAGAACATTGCTTACCTATTTGATAGGAAAGAGGCATAAAGCAATCTTCTGAAGTAATAAAAATGCTATGTATCTTAATAATTATGTTGGTTATACATTTGGCCTTTTTGGAGTACCGTAACAAACTCCATAAATAGTGTAGCTTATAAATAGCAGAAGTGTATTTCTGGAGAATGGCCCGTCTAGCGTCAGGGTGGCAGCAGATTCGCTATTCAGTGAAGTCCCACCTTCTTCCATTTCCATCATCACCGGGTGGAAAGAATGAGGTGGTTTCCTGGGATCTCTTTTGTAAGGGCAGTACTCCCACTGGGGCTTTGCTCCAGTGACTTCGTCATCTGCCAAAGACTCTCCTTCCTAATGCCATCAGTCACCTTGGAGGGGTAAGGACTTTGTAATAATCACTTTCCTGTCACTGAGGCAAAATGCCTGGCCTACAGCTTAGAGGGGAGGTTTAGTTTTGACTCAGTTTCAGTAATTGCATTCCATGGTTGACTGTCCTTAAGGCAAAACTGCATGGCTGCCAGGTAGCACCCTTCCAGTGGACACCTTCAGTGACCTGCTTTTTCTGACCAGGCCCTGCCTCCAAGCTTGAGACGTGGGGGACATTTTAGATCTAAACCTTAACAGATTTCAACATACGGACTTCAAGGGGACACAGGCAATTGAACTGTAGCAACAGATGTATACATGTGTGAGAATTGTTAAAATCTTTATATTTGAAAACACTGCATGTAAAGAATACCTTAGTAAAATAAATACAGTATATAAAGTTTTTTAAAAGCAAAGGAAGGCTTACTTATAAGTACAATGACAACAGGAATCACAGCAAACCACTTAGAACATGCAGAGATACACTAAGTACAGAACTGTTACATAGAACTTCAAATGATATTCATAATATTAAAGATTAACAGTTACATTCAGTACAATTTCAAAGAAGCCAGCAAGGCATACTGTTCTTAAAAAGAATTTTATGTGTAATGACTGAAAGCTTCAGAGTAAAAGACTTAGATGTCAATTGTGCAGAATATTTAATATGTTAAAAATTTACCAGATTTTCTGTAAAGAACCATGGAAATGATTATGAAATAGAATGTGGTCTCTTAAGAATAGAATCTACCAAAAAGAAGGTATGAAAGGCTCCTCTAAACAGATCTGCTGAATAAATAATTTAAACAATGTTTGTCTTATATAATTTAGGTTCTCTGTCGGTAAAAGAAATTTAAAAAATGTAGCATCTAAGCCTAAGCTTGTTTCGGCACTTTTTAATATATCCCAGGAGTTTAAGAGATCCCACAATTAAATGTTCTGAAATAGGGTAAGAATTTGTCCCAGTTACTATGTTAGAGCGAATGGACACACATCTGACGGTAGCCTCTGTACTTTGACAGTATTTGTCTCTGGAATCCTCCACAACCTGCTCTATACAGTCAGATACACTCAAACTGTTGAAGTGAGAAATTCAAGTAGAGTTCTGTAGCCTTTTATTATAAAGTTAGTCTTCAAAATAAAGGATAACCTCCAAAGTTAGTTTGTGGGTTTTGACCTCTTCCAACTTATTAGCAAGGTTTCCTTTTGTGGGCTGTCATCTAAGCAGTCAACACTTCCGGCACCGTGTACTAATGCGGTCATTGTTTGCTCAAACGAGGCTGAGGGCTTGGCTGTTTCTTGTTTATGGGGAAGCTAATTCCTGATCTCTGCGTCTGTTTTAGTAATAGTTATGCCCGAGTGCGAGCTGTGGTGATGACCCGGGATGACTCAAGTGGCGGATGGCTACCACTTGGAGGGAGCGGACTAAGCAGCGTCACTGTCTTCAGAGTCCCTCATCAGGAAGAGAATGGCTGTGCTGACTTTGTTATCCGTGGAGAGCGGCTCAGGGACAAAATGGTAATGAATAATACATCTCTTGCTATAATTTTAGGGTATTTTCTACAAAATGGATAGATAATCTGTTTAAAATTATGATCACATACTATGTATGAAAGTTGTTTTTGCCATGACTCAGTGATTATTTCTAGAGCTCTTTTTCTGTCAAAGGCAGTAAAATATGATCGTTTTCAAAGTGGATCTGACAGTATATACTCACTGGGCAGGACTGCTCCATTTCTGTTTGGTTTAATGCCCGAACATTGGTGAACCAGTTCTCCCCACTGTTTGCCAGACCAGAGTTTATGAGCAAACGAGTCCACAGACTAAATTCAGGGCCTGCCTCGGGGCTGTGAGCTATCGGTGATTTTTATATATGGTTGATAAAGAAGAATCATTTTTGATGTGGGAAAATTATATGAAATTCAGATTTCAGTGTCCATAAATAAAGGGTGTTTTGGTTTTAAAAAGCATTTCTTTACATCTGTCTTTGACTACTTTGTAGTTTCAGCAGGGACTGTCTATATCTGGCTGGATGGACTTTTGCAGCCGACTCCTTTCCCCTGCTGCCCTAGACTCTTTATCTTAGGTTTTCTCTCTGCAGGATTATAGAGCTACATGGGAGCTGGCCTGGTCTTCCCTCTGTCCATTCCCTCCCTTGCTTGCTTTCTTCTTACTTTTTTTTTTTTTTTTAATTCCAGTACTGGAATAGATTAAACCTAAGGAGTACTTAGCTTTATCCCCACCCTTGTTCACTTATATTCTGTATTTTGAAACAAGATTTCACTGTAATCTAGGTTGGCCTTACACTTTCAATTCTTTTGCCTCAGCCTGCCACATAGCTTAGGTTTTAGGTGTGAGCTACTGTGCCCAGCCTAATTTTTGACAATATTAACTTCTACCTAGATAAATATTTCCTTACATATATATATATATATTTTGGAATTTCAGGCTAGTATTTGGTATTAATTTGCTGTCTTTTAATTAAAGTGCCAGAATTTCTAAGACCTTTGAAAATAATTAGAATCTCCCTTAAATATGTATTTATGAATGGTTTGAGCTAGTTTACCTTCTGTGTTATTTCTGTTGGAAATGCATTTTAAGATCTAAGTAGTTCTTTCATTCATGAGCAATTTGAATACAACCTTTTTGGTTTTAGCCTCAATATTTACTGCTGAATTATTTTAGTGACTTAAAAAGTTACTTAAATTGTTTGTGCCCAATTTATTCCTCAGTTAAAGGAAGAGTTATCTTAAATCATCTTGAAAGACATCCAGCTCCAGTGTTTGGTATTACACATTGTACAGTGTGTCTCAGTTAACTAGTATGTGTTTTTAGTATTGCAAGAAACCCATTGAAGTCAGAAGCGAAAGTAATAAATTTAACATGTCATCTTTAAAGAGTTTAAGTATTTGCAAGTGATTTTGGCCTTAAAATAGTGTATGGCATTTACAAATACTTTTATAAGCTCACAGATATCTAAGAAAAAGCTTAGATATGGTGACCTGTCCTAGACTAAAATGCTTCTTATCTGAGCTAATGATAACTAGAATGTAGTTGGAAAAGAAATGGTGGATTTCAGAAACTGAGGAGCATAGTAAGGAACTGAGGCAGTTTTGTGAAAATTTATTATATAGTAAAAATTAAAAAGGAAAAGAAGAAGTTCAGTAATGAAGTAAGAGTTGAAGACAAGAACTTATTAGAAAAAGCCTAAGAACAAGGAAAAGCTACCTAGATGTAAAATAGAGCAGTACATCAGTAAAATAGAGTTTCGGGTATATTGATAGAGATGGACAGTTCAGAACCAAGTCCTTATAACTTGAAATGAGGCTGGTCAGAGATAGCTCTGATTGGTCCTGTGACTGTTCAAAGTATGGCTTTAACATAAAAGCTAGTGGAATTAATGTGGAATTCAGAGAGAACATAAACTTGTTCCCTATGACAAGTATTAAGAAGGAAGGAAAAAAAAAAGTAGAGTATTTAGCCTATTCTTAGAGTATGGACTTGTTATAGATTAATTAAAAACTAGCTTCTTCTAGAAGTACTGATCAGGAATCACAGTAACTATTGTTTCACCTAACTATTTCTCATTGAGGAAAGTTGTTTGTAAAACAAGAATAGTAATAAGATACAAAGGAAAAATTGCTTTTATTTGGAGGATTGCCATATTTCTTATACAGGATTACCTGTAGTAAAGCAGTCCCCATAACTTATATGATCAGAGGTATAGGAGATGACTCATAGCTATAATTTTTTTTTCTGAGACAGGGTGTCACTTTGTAGTTGAGACTGAACTGGAACTCACTATGTAGCCCAGGTTGGTCTCGAACTCACAGCGATCCTCCTGCCTCAGCCTCCCAAGTGCTCAGATTACAGGCGTGTGCCACCACGCCTGGCTTCATAGCTATAAATTGAAAATAGCAAAGTGTTAAATTAAGAGTCCCACATCAAATGAAACAGTAACATTGAAATAAGCAGACTGTCAGCCCACTCTGTTGGGTGGTATACTTCAGTGCGACTCCTCAAGAGTTCGCTAATATAATTGAAGTCTGCATACATTACATACATTATAGGATCACTAATAGCCATTTCCATACGTATTTATATTGGTCAGTTTTATTCTACTTCATATTTGTGGTTTCTAATTTCTTAATTTTTTTTTTTTTTTTGGTAAAGTGCTCCATCACTTTAAGACCATAGGATTCTTCCCAGAATAGTGACAGCATTCTTTTAAAAGCTTTCTCAGTAAATAAACTGTACATTTTGATAGTTTTGCTATGTAACAATTATGTAAAAGACAGCTGCTAAGATCTGTTTTGTACCCATTTTCCTGAGTCCACATGTTAGGATCTCTGCCTTAGATGATTTATAGAAATGAAGCTTTTGCCCCTCCTACCCTTATTATCTTAACTTGTGCCCTTTAAGAACTAGTAAATAATAAGAAAAGACATATGTGGCCACCTACTGACTAATAGAGACACTTTAAAAGATGTTTTTAAATCAGAATACTGGTAACCATGGTGAAGCAAAAAAAATGGCTTTTCTTAATGATGAGGGAAGCAGTGTTTTGACAGATTTTCCAGCCTTTGATTCACCATAACTTGTACTAAAAATAAATCTCCTTTGACTTCTCAGAGGGGTGATCAGTCAGCTGTCCATATCTGCAGGTTGTGCATCTGCACACTCAACCAGCTGGACTGAAAATCTTTGTGCCCCAACTGAGCACGTACACACTTTTCTTCCATGTCATTATCCCCTAAGCAAGATAGTCTTAACAGCTGTTCGCAGTGTATTACAAGTTACTCAAGCACAACCTGCCCAGGATTTTTTAAGAAGGTATCATTTTGTATAACTCGGTTGAATTTATGTACTCATTTGTTCTCAGACTTAAGTGATCAGAAATAATTATTTCCTGTGGTGACCTGTGCAGTAAGTTCCTGACCTACCTGTGAGAGAACATTCTTAAGTTGGGTTCCTTCATAAGTCTGACAAAGTGAGTCTTACACCCCTTTGACAGAAATCTATAAATCAGTAAAGCATTAAAAAGCCAGATGCGAGGTCCATTCATATCGGTGAACGTTTGCTACTCAAATGTTGTAAGTTGGGGACTTAATGTAACTTGCTCTCCTTTGTGCTTCTTCTAGAGGGAGAGGTTATTTCCTTTTGGTACTCTAGATTAGACCTTCCCAACTGTTTGACCTTTATAGGGTAGAAGTAGGGAGAGCCTCCGAGCTGTCTTTTTAATTTTTTTTCTTTCCTGTGTCTGCCTGAGAAAAGAGCTAGAAAACAATGCGTAATTGGCCTTCATGCTTAATTAATGATTGAGAAAGAATTTTAAAGAAAAACAAGGCTTCTTCACAGATGCATGGAGATGGACCCATCCTTGTCAAGGAAAGAATTGCAGAACCCCTCTCAATGTATATGAACTGCATCTTCCATTTCCTTCTAAAATCTATATAACTTTGGTATCTTTAATTCTTTAATACAATTTATCTTGAATCACTTATTTTGTAAAATGCTGGCTAAAATTTAATTTCCTTTGTTTAGGTAATCAAGAACTCCACATTCCTCATGATAGAAACTTCTATTTTGCGTTAGTTTTTATTAGCTGTCATGGCTCTTTTATAAGTGTAACACTTTCATCTTATCAACATTTTATCAAAAAGCTAATTACTAATCAGAAAACTAAAAATTTTAATTGCTACAGGGTTTAAAACAGGTATTCTTAATATAGTAGACAGAAGAATGTAAATTTACTAATTTGAAGTAGTGCTTTATAAAGCATATTATGTGACGCAAGATGACAAAATATGGAGTAGGTTAAGTGGAAAGGTGTACAGTAGTACTCTTAAAACAACTGAACTGTTTAGGGTGCTCTGTAAGAACAGAATAAACGAGGTTGTAAAATAGCTACCAAAATAAACGTACAGTGATTGTGACAAACGGCGCAGAAGAATGAGGCCGCCCAAGCATGCTAGTGAAAGCAAAGAGGTACAGACTTTATTCACCCGCAGAGGCGGACTGACTGTAACCAAGAGGCTGCCGGCACTGCACAAAAGATTGCAGAAACTTCATAGGTTGTTCGAAGAGAGGTCTATTACATGTAGGGGGCAGACCAGATCTTTATGGTTGGGGGTCCATGCAGCAATCAAGGCAGATGTGTGGATATTTTCAGGTGATTTGGCACGGAAAAGATGCTATACTTTGTAATTGTTAGCTGTTTGGTGGGAGCATCCCATCCTTTGTTCTGTGTCTGATAGCACGGCTTTTGTCGACTAGAGATAGCACCTGCATCTGCATTGGCTGCCTGTTTTGTAGTTTCTTGTATCTTGTCAAACTCTAGCTTGGAATTGAGCATATTCATTAACCATTTCACAACCAGGCCAAGCCTAACAGTGACAAATTAATTTTGAAAGAGAAACCAAGAAACATTTTCAGGATTATTAAGTAGGTTGTGGATAAAAAGTTTATTAAAATTAAAGTGCCTTTAAAATAATAGGTCTGTTGCTTTAGAAGAACTCTTTTTAAAAAAATAACAATTTTCTTATAAATTATTGGAGCCTAAAATGAAATTAGAACATGCATTTTCTAGGAAGAAAATTAAGTAGATATAGCAGTAGTTCTATTAAAAATTAGACTTTGTTGCCTTTCTACCATGTGGATATCTTAAAATAGCAAGGAAATCCTCTTTCTGCCTTTGTTGAACATTGTTTCCACTGCACCTCTATGAATTATTCCATCGTGAAAGCACAGTTCTTCCACAGAAGTGTTCTGCCACTGAAAATGAACTGTCTGCATTAGCTTTTTCCTTCGGATGCAGCCTTCCTAGCAGTTTTGTCTCCTGAAAGAGACTGGTTCTGTTCACTAGAGTACCGCAGTTAGGAGAAGTGTGGGAGTTGGAGTTGAAATGATGCAGCAGTGTTGTTATCCAAATGTCCTCTGCAGGCTGTTGCTCTATCACCTGCTTTACTAAGAATCCCTCCCTTGACCCTTGGCCCCATTCAGATGACCGTTCTGTTGTGGCTTTGCTTCACAGCAGCTGGGTCTGAGCCTCCTCATTCCTCTTGCCTAATTTTCTTTGCTGTCTTGACTTTCTGGTCTTAATTTTAGGAGGCAATTTGCTTGGATCTGGTTTTTACCCAGAACTGGTTCATTTAAGGAATTTTACCATTTTGTGTCCTTTTTTTCCTTTCCCCTCTTCTACTGTTCAGTTTCATACCTTCTCTGTTACTTTGCCTCCACTTTTCTTCTACTTTCACGAGATTCTTAATGGCTTCAGTATCTTTTATTATTAATACTTACCTTTTAAATTTTGTCAATTTTGTAAACTACTCATTCATGTATCGGTAGCCCCTGTGTTGCCTTACTTTACACTAAAGGAACTTAACTGAATCCTGTAGTATTCCCTCTAAATATTCTGTTTTTAAATCTGAGTCTTTCATTCAAGTAACAGATACTGTTGAGCAACTACTGTATGCCACATTCAGCACTGAGAATATTTAAATGAGTAAAAATGGAAATCTCAATTCTTAGGGGAATATAAATACATAAAATGATATGCTAGGGCTGGGGATTTGGCTCAGTGGTTCTGCTGCCTGCCTCACAACTGCAAGGCCAGAGTTTGATCCCTGCTACCCACCCCCCCCAAATGATATGCTAAGACAGTGCTACAGGGGAAGAAAGAGGGGAAGGGGAGCATAGAGAGGTTTTTAGGGGTAGGTTAGCAAAAACTTAGGTAGACCATCCAAGGAGGGCCTTAATGATCTTGAAGATTTATACATGGATAAAACCTTGTAGTCTCAGATTTTTAAATCTTGAGTATTCTTAAAGCAATGAATTTGTCTTTTTAGTTAACTTTTATGCTACACTACAGAAAATCTTAGACTTTTGGGAGATTTGATGTTGATGCACATTTTGATGCCCTTCAGTAGTCACAAGCCTAGGAATTACCAGTTATTCCTCCATTGTTTAAACAAGTCTTTATTCTTGATTTTATTTCATCTTTTTCATCTCTTTACCTCTCATCTTGCCCGTGTTGCTGTGTGTGTTACAATAATGTGCTATTGTGTAAACACGATGCCATCTTCCTTCCCTTACTGTCTTTTTGTCTGCCCTTCCCTCCCTGTTGTAGAAGAACTATTATATGAGAATTACTGCCATTGTTGGATCTGTTACTTTTTTTTCCCTAAAGGGTCCTCAGCTCAAAACACAGTGTTGAAGACACTTTTTTATTAATAGACAATTAGTAAAACTTTCTGTTTGTTTTGTTTTAAGACAGGATCTTGATATGTTGCCCAGGCTGGTCTTGAACTTGTGATCCTGCTACCTCATCTTTCCAAGTAGCTGGAATTACAGGTGTGCACCTAAGTGCTTGTCTGTGATACTAGTTTTTTGTTTTTTGGAGGGGTGTTTTTTTTTTTTTTTTGGTGCCGGAAATCGAACTCAGGTCTTTGTGCTTGCGAGGCAGGCGGCAGAACCACTGAGCTAAATCCCTGGCCCATGTGATACTAGTTTTTGTATCATCCAGAAAACTGACATTTATATTATTTGAAATGCAAATTAGCAATTTAGTTATCAAGTACTTTAAATTTTTATTTCAGAAAATGACTTTTTAGGTACTTCAGAAAGTTACTACTACAATTTTGGTATTAGATAGTATTATTTAAATATGTAATCACCTTGTGAGGTAGCAACTTTAATAAAGTATATATTATTTTAAAAGTATATATTTAATTTTACTTTTCTAAATTATTAGTTGTAGCTTTGCATAGTGGCAGTATTGTAGCCAGTGAGGTTTATGCAAGGAGCGATTATTGCTAATTGAAAACTTCTCCTAAATTATTAGTTGTTACTAGTAAAACAGAGTGCACTTATAACTATTTTTGGCTTGATCTACTTTAAATGCTTTGGCAAACAATACAATAATTTTATGATGAATTTTGCTCTGTGTTTCCCAAAATAAATTAGAACACATCTTTAAAAGTTTTAGTTACTTAGCTACCCCACCACCACCACTCCTTGTATAAATTCTTACCCTAGAGTTTCTTTCTGGTGAAGGGAAAGTATTAGAAATGGAAGCATTTGCTGTGTTAGGTCTTAAGTGTAGATGTCCCCCCAAAGCCTCATGTGGTCGCAGGTGGGGCTTTCAGAGGATTGAGGGTGTATGATGCTGGAACTGATTCATGGTACAGTGCTAGGCTCAAGGGTGCTAGGATTAAGGGCATGAGAGCTACCTGCTCCAAGTAGCCAGGGTAAGAGGAAGAGGGCAGAAAGACACTGTTAAGACCCCTTGTTGCTTTTGCTGTCTTCCTGCCATGAACTGTTTCTCCTCTGGGATGCCCCTCTGCCATCTCCCCTGCCTTGGAGCCAGCTAGCTGATTATGGACTGAAACCTCTACACATTGTGAGCTAAATAAACTTTTCCTCTGTTAACTTTTTGTTTCAGGTATTTTGTCTCAGCAACAAGAGAAAAGTAACTAAGAGACTATTAAGCTCTTTGAATCTGTTTCCATAATCTCTTTAAAGCCCTAGTATGCTACCTGTATTTATCACTCCAACTCCTCCCTCTGCTGTATTCAGAAATGATGTCCCCTTATGAGTAATGAATGTCCTCCCATCTTCTCAAAGCCACTAACTTGCCATAGACCAGTGTAGCACTGAGTGTCCAGCACCACCACCAGCACCACCACTAGTGTTTATTGAAGGTTTACTGTGTCATCTATGGCTTTTGAATATTTAATATAATTGTACTTCATTTAGTTCTCAGAAGTCAGCAGAACAGTAACTTGTGGACTGTCTGGTTACCTTGCTGATCTTAAATGCAAAGCCCACAAACTTAATTAGTTACTGTGCCAGTTCTTCTTACAGTTTCTTTTTATGTGCTGTGTTCCTATCCTTTCTGTTTTTCATAGCTTACTCATTTTATTTTGGATACTTACAAGTGTCCATTCTTTTTAACCACCTTTCTTCCCTCTCTTAATTCTGCCTGGTATAGAGAAGTCACTTTTACTCTCTCCCTTCAACTCTGTCAAATTTTAATAAATTTGTCATAGTAATTTTTTTTAAATTCCAGGATTCTCTTCTTTATTTGTATTTTTCATTAACATCTATTTGACCTTAAAAGAAAGAATAAAAACAAAATAAAAAGTATTTGTGCTTTTTGTTACCATTGGGTTAAAAGAATTGAAATCTTCTTTACATTTTTGGTTCCCAAAGCAATGTACATATCTGGATAGTAAAGACTTTAAACTTACATGTCCTAATAAACTTAGATCTGTGTTGCAACACAAAGTTGTTCTACCAAATACAACTACAACATTTCTGTTTTTATAGTCACTTTCCTAAATTTGACTGCATTCTGTCTGATCGCAGCAGTTAACATTCTCCTTAGACTATTGGTATGTGAGAATTTGATTTTTGTTTTTCAGTGTAGTCATTGTGTATATTTAGGTGCTCTTGAATTCTTGGGGCTTTTTCTAGTTTTTTTCATTATACCTTTTTTTAGTTAATAATCTTCATTCATAATCCCAAAATACTTGCAGATAATGGGAAATCTGAAATGTTCTAGTATTGATTCTAAAACGTGACTTTTTAATTTGTTCTTCTTTGCTAACCAACCATATTCTTTTCTTTTTTATTTTTCCTTCATTGAGTTTATTGGTACTTTTTAAGTATACAGTACAGTTACATTTATCATTGGAATCTTGAACCTTTACATAACCATATTCTTAATGGATCAATTATCCCTCAGTTAAGGATTATTCTTGGTAAATTACTTTGGTAACATTCTCTTTGTAGTTTATGATTTGGGCTTAACATTAATATTTGTTTTATAAAAATTTTATATAGGAATGGGTAGGGCCACTGATACACTTTTACGTTTTTATCTTATATCTTATGAATGCTTTCCTGGGGACCTGATGAAATTCACATACTTCCAGAACTACTTTATCCCAGAAAGTTTATTTAACTTTTAATTCTAATTATTTAAGTATATTTGGAGGTTAGGAACGGCAGGTGAGTTTTAAGGTTATGGTGTTTTCTTGTTTTATTTTCATTATGTAGTACTGGAGATTGCACCCAGGGAGTTGGCATTGAATTACATCTCCAGCTCCTTTATTTTGGTGTTCACTGAGTTTCCCATGCTAGACTTGAACTGTGACCCTCCTTGCCTCAGCCTCCCAGAGTGCTAGGCTCACAGGAGTTCATGCCCACACCTGGTTATGATTATGGTTTGGGGGGTTTTTGAGGGTTTTTTTGGTACCAGGGATATAGGTCATCACCTTGTGCTGTAAGGCAGGCACCCGGTGCCACTGAGCTAAATCCCCAGCCCATGATTATGTTTTGATGGTTTCTAGCAGTCCACTTTAGGATAGTCTTAACAGAACTCAGACTTCCTCATGTCCTGTGTTCTCTTACAACATTCTACCTACGAGTAAGTCATGTTTTGGGAGAGTAACCACTTAAGTTGTGTAGGGTCCCTTTTTCTGTAACAGTGGTAGGTAATAGGTGAAGCTTCATGTTGGCCAGGGATAATTTACCACTACTACTTATCAGAGTAATAATATTGTTGGGTTAGTTGCTTAAAATCTTTTGGCAAAGATGTATAGTAATTAGTGTTTTGTATGGCTTATTTGCAAATTATGCAAATCGTAAATACAGGAAACAGTGAATTCAGCTTCTTTGTGACTATGAATACTAATGTTATCTCCAGATAAAGAATAAATACAGTGAAAACCCCAGTAGGTTTAAATTGGAACACACTGTTGTTCTGTATGGTTGAGAGAAGTGAAGAGTAGTTCCTAGTCAGAATTTTTAAAAAATCCTTCAAGCCCTTAAACTTGTTTTTGCTTTTCATGAATGTAGATTTAGTATTGATCACATATAAAAGTCTTTATGAAGCATTCTTCACTTTACTTACTTGATACAACTTTCTATGTCATTTTTTTGTTTTGTTTGATTCTTGATTTTAGGTCACCGGTTGGTACCCGTTTCTTAACTAAGATGTACTATACATTGTCCTTGTTGTCACAAAACTCCATCTTTATTTTTCATTGTGTGACTTAAATATGTAAGAGACTGTTAGACTTTGGGCATGGAGGTTGTGAGAATTGTGAAAATGTTTGAGGAAAATGTTGTAGGAACTGTATTATAAAGTCACCTATAAAGACATTAGATAGTTTTGCCAAAGATCTCTTGCTTTTTTTCTGTTTCACTACCTATGCCAAATTTATAATATCTACTACCATTATTACAGCCTTTTCCTAAAGGTAGTTTTCTGCTACAGTAAGTATACTCTATAGTAAAATGTTTTTTTCTTCATACTATTTTTTAGTATTAAGTGAGTAAAAGTGAGTAAAAAATTGAAGTCTTAATTCATAATTAGTTAGCAAATGGTTTTAACCAGTTGTTACAGTGTGTAAACTCAGTTTTTGTAGGCCTTCCGCATGGAGTGCTTTTCTGCATAGGATAAGAGCTGGTCATCCTTCTTTCCGTTTCCTTCTCGGTGTATCTTAAAGCTCATCCTTAAACTCAGTTTTCTGCTAATTTTGGGAGTCTGTAAAAAATAGACGCCATCTGAAAATTAGTGGTAGAGATTAGTGTAATAATAGTTTCATATATTAAATGTCATTTGTGATATTTTATATAATAAAACCTATGGGATCAAACTCACGTTATGTTTGCCCCCTTTGCAATAATTTTATTTAACTTTGTTTTCTAAAATGTTTTTATCTACTGTTTACTAATGAATATCGTAAAAAAAATTGCAACAATTCCTAATGACAGTACTGTACTTCTTGAATTCTTGAAACTCATCCTGAATTTATTGTTGTTATTATTATTGCTGCAGAATGGTTGTGTGAGAAGTAGTAAATCTGGGGGAAATGACTTAGCAAAGGTGACTGATTTATAAAAACTCTGGGTGTATGTTCTTTCTTTTCCAGTGCTTGGACAGTTATGAAAGTAGCAAAACTCCCGAGGCAGTTTTGTTGTATTGCTTCTGAATAAATGAGTGGTTCTTAGTTACCTTTTTGATTATATATTCATGAATAAGAAATTATCAAGAATCATAGTGCTATGCTGATAAAGGTTTAAAAATCACCTTTCAACAGTGGCATTGATCTGTATAGCATTTGCTATACTACCTTGGCTGGCTTCATTCAATGTGAATTTATTTTATTGTAGCTTCTAATAGTAACTTAACAGAATTTCTGAATGCTGATATCAGGCTCTTGTGAGAAAGCCATACCAGTGCTTGGGTTGAACCTAAATCACTCAGTTGTAGATTAGGTGTTCCAAATCTGTGACCCATGAGTAAGTTTCTAGGATGCATAAAACCTGAAAACTTATAGAAAAATACGGAAATGTGCATTTATCTGAGGAGGAATACTTGTCAAATACCTAATGTGTAATTGCTACTATATTGTAAGGATTGAGGACACAATGATCACCCTAGGTGTCAGTCTTCAATCTCTCCCGGCTTGAAGACTAATGGGGGAGATGGACATTGTACAAATAATGATGCTGATTTTAAAATTATAAACACAGGTAATTATGTGTATCAGAAGACTTGCCAGACTGTAATCAGTCTAGGGGTCAGGAATGGCTTTCTTTAGAGAGCTGTGTGAGTTCAGATCTTAAAGATAAGGAAAAGGCATTAACAAGGTAATAGAGGGTTCCAGGGAGAAGGCACAGCCCTGTGGGCGACTGAGCAGCCAGTGTGATGACAAGGTTGGGAATGAGAATAGAGCTTGAACAGACCAAGCCCAGCCCACATGTCCTAGTGGGCCATGAGGAGAATTTTGGTGTGAAAATTCCTGAAATGACACTTGCTTTGAAGTCAGTGGAGCAAGGGAGTCCTCTGATGAAGCTTACACTTTTTGTGAAAATTGCCACTCCACCTGCAGAGCAGTGAAGGGACCTGAAGAGGTTGTAAGCAGATGGGTGAAAGACGCATTCAGGTAATAATGCTGACCTGAATAGAGAGGGGCAGGGAAAAGACACTGTTTCACCTGGTACTTACCAAGCAATCATAGACGGTGTGCCCTTCCAGGTCCAGGAATTCGGCAAAATACAAGTCCAAGTCCCTACTCATTGAGTATTCAAGTTCTAGTGGGGGCAGCAGGTGTAAAGAATAAATAAGTAAACAATTATTTGAGGTCAGTATGAATTCTTTGAAGCCATGAAATAGGATATGGGATCTGGCTTTTATATGCATTGTTTTTAATTCTATTTTAAACGTATTCATAAATAATTAAGATGTGTAGTTTTACTTGTGTATTAATCAGGTACATTTTTAGGATCACTTTTGAATAGTGATAGTGACAATTAAATGTTTGTTAAAAGTATATTATGAGGCCACGGATTTAGCTTAGTGGTGCCGCTGCCTGCCTCACAAGCACAAGGTCCTAAATTGGAGCCCCAGTGCCCCCACAAAAAAAGTATTAATATAAATATTATGAAAAACACAGTGGTATACACATTCCATATTGAAAAAGACTGAACATTAAAATTGAATTTAATGCATGATCCCTGGAATGGATCATGTACTGGAAGTTTTTAAAAAGACAATACTGAGCAACAAAAATAGCAAAGGAAGAAGTTAAACTGTCATTATTTGCTGATGATATGATGCTCCACATTGAAGACCCAAAAAACTCCACCAAAGACTTCTAGACTTAATTGACACTTCTAGCAGAGTAGCTGGATACAAGGTCAACACCCCAAAATCAATAGCCGTCTTGTCACAAATAACACTCACTGAGAGAGAAATGAGGGAAACAATTCCTTTCACAATAGCATCCAAAAAGTGAAGTATCTAGGAATCAATTTAATGAAAGAAGCAAAAGACCTCTACACTGAAAACTACAGCACTCTGAAAAAAGAGATTGAAGAGGATATGAGAAACTAGAATGATATCCCCTGCTGCTGGGTAGGAAGAATGAACATAGTGAAAATGGCCATACTACCAAAACTGCTAGACAGATTCAATGCATTGCCAATTGAAATTCCATCACTATATTTCACAGAACTAGAAAAAAGATTCCAAAAATTCATTTGGAACTATAAGAGGCCTAGAATAGCAAAAGCCATCCTAGGCAACAAGACATGGCAGCAGGTATAACAATTCCCAATTTGAAACTATACTACAAAGCCACTATGATAAAAACAGCACGACAAAGAAACAGACCTGAGGATCAGTGGAACAGATTGGAAGACAAAAAAACAACTCCAGATGTACTCAGCTACCTCATTTTAGACGAAGGAGCTGACCATCCTCCCTGGAGGAAATATAGCCTCTTTAATAAATGGTGTTGGAAAAACTGGATCTCAACTTGCCAAAGATTAAAACTAGACCTGTATCTTTCACCATGCACTAAACTAAAATTCAAGTGGATTAAAGATCTAAATATTAAAACAGAAACACTACATTTGGCTGGAAGATAAGTTAGGCAGAACTCTTGAAGACATTGGCATAGGAATAGACTTTATGAACAAATCCTCAGCAGCACGGGAACTAGCAGAAAGAATCAACAACTAGGATCTCATTAAGAAACTTCTGCACTGCAAAAGAAACCATCAACAGAACTAAGAGACAACCTACAATGTGGGAAAACATTTTTACCAGCTGCTCCTCAGACAAAGGACTGTTATGTAGAATATATAAAGAACTCAAAACAATCAGCCGCTCCAAATATAAAGACCTGATTCAGAAATGGGCATCTGAAATGAACAGATATTTCTCCAACAAAGAAGTAAAAGCAGCAAGTAAATATATGAAAAAATGTTCCACATCACTGGTCATTCGAGAGATGCAGATGAAAACAACACTGAGATTCCACCTCACCCCACAAAGAATGGCTGCTATCAAGAAATCACACAATAACAAATGTTGGCAGGGTTGTGGGGAGAAAGGAACCCTTCTCCATTGTTGGTGGGAGTGCAGACTGGTGCAACCACTTTGGAAATCAATATGGAGATACCTCAAAGAGCTTGGACTAGAGGTTCCATTTGACCGAGCCATCTCTCTGCTGGGTATCTTTCCAAAAGAATTAAAAGAATCATATCACAGTGATATATGCGCATCTATGTTTACAGTGGCACGGTTTGTAATAACTAAAACTTGGAAACAGCCCATCTGCCCAACAGTTGGAAACTGGATAAAGAAGATGTGGTTTTTCTATAAAATGGAATACTAAGCCATAAAGAATGAGAAATTAGATTCATTCATAGAAAAGTGGATACATACTGAGGATGTACTCCTACGTGAAATAAATAAGTCACGTGTAAATACCGAATAGTTTCTCTGGTGTGAAAAACTATAATAGTACATAAGATCCTAATGATATAATTAACAATATGAAATAGGAAGAAAAGGGCTAAAGGTGTAGGGAAAGTGGGAAGGGTAGGGGAAAGGTAATAAGGGCAAAGAAAAAAATAGGAGAAAATGAAAAAATGGAAATAAGGTATTTGTAAATGGGGAGGGGAGGAGGGGATGAAGGGAGGGCAGGGACAAGGGAAAAAAATGAGAACCATGATCTGTCACGTAAAGTTACAAGATCCCAATAATGAATGTAAGTGTACTGTATACCTAAAATGTACCAATAAACTCAATGAGGAAAAAAAAACCCCAATACTGCTATACTGCTGGGCTTCTTAGTGCACACCTGTAATCTCAGCACTCAGGTGGCTGAGACAGGAGGATCACCCAAATGAAGGCCAGCCTGGGCTATGTACTGAATTCAAGACCAGCCTGAGTTACATGGTAAGGCCCTGTCTCACCACTTTACCCCAACAAATAAAAAGTATAAAAGTCTTTATTAGCATAGTGAAAATTAGAATATAAGCTACAAAATAGATAAAATCGTTTTTTCAGTTTTAAATTTTCTGAAGTTCATAATTGTACTATAATTACATAAAAGAACAACATTATTCTTAGGAAATAATACTCAAGTATTAAAGAGTAATGGGACATATAATATAGGTAACTTCCTTGAAGTAATTTAGAATAAAATAGATAAACATTTATTTGTGGGTGTGTACAGAGAGGAAATGTTGAACAGGTAGCAAACCCAAATAAAAGGGAGACAGGGATTTTTATTTTATTTTTGTTACTTTTCTTTAAACTTGAACTTATTTCAAAATAAAAATGAAAAATGTAAACAAAGGTATATTGTCCTCAACATTACATAACCTCTTTACATTAATGTACATTGGTATTTCATTGCTATTTATATTTTTGAGATGTGGTAATTAAAGTTTCAAAATGTAAGGTAAACTACTGAGTATGAGAAAGTGGCAAGGCAGGTGTTTTCATCTGCAAGGACCATTACCTCTTCAAACAAAATGTGAATGGATCTTTTAAGAAATTTAGGAAAGTGATTTTAAGAAATCATACTTCTTTTTACTACCACCTCTCTGCCTCTTCCTCAGAAATAATTCTTGGTACAGCCTTCTGGAGATTTTGTATGAAACAGGAATGTGCCTATTTTTTTGACATGGGAGTTATAACAAAATACTGTATAACTTGCATGGTCTATTTTATTCTTTTTTTTATTTTTAATTTTTTTTAGATATGGTCTTGCTGGGTATTCTAGGCAGGCCTCTAACTTACAGCAGTCCTCCTGTCTCAGCCTTGAGTGCTGGGATTACAGATGTTGGCCCCCATGCTGGACCATGCACAGTTGTCTTTATCTCATTTTAATTTCATTATTATCAGCTTTGTTGAGTAGATTAAGTTCAAGGCCTCTATTTTAAAATTTATTAAAATATTTATTTGAAAAGTAAAACTTTGCTCACCTGAGTTTGTATCTAACAGCTATATTAAGTATATGTGTATTAACTTTCGTATTTGACTTTTTACAGGTGGTTTTGGAATGTATTCTTAAAAAAGACCTCATTTATAATAAGGTCACACCAACATTCCATCATTGGAAGATTGATGACAAGAAGTTTGGCCTTACCTTTCAAAGTCCTGCTGATGCTAGGGCATTCGATAGAGGTATTCGAAGAGCTATAGAGGATATTTCTCAAGGTAGACATTCCTGTTTATTTCCTCAGTGTGTTCATCTATTACATGCACCACAAGTCACCTTTCTTCAAAGCTGACACAAAGTAGTCATACTTTAAACAAGCCAGATTTTATGTTTTGTGACCAAGCTTTGAAAGCTCAAAAGAGGTAAAGATGAAATACTGGGCTCTTAGCCAGTATTTATTTGTTAATTAACAGTGCTTACCAATTGAATCTATTATTTTGAAGAGCCTATAAGTAGCCTTTAGATAAGACAAAGGTTTTAAAAGAAGGGTTTGAGAAAATCGGGGGTGAAGAAGAGGGAGCAGTAGAGTAGAGCTGTTACCATTAGGGTGTGGTATTCCACTTACGAACGTCTTATCAGCCGTATTGGTATTCAGACAAAAAGAGAACTTGCAGTACTGTAGTGTAGGTGGGCATTCAGTCACAGAACTCTGGCGTGCAGTACTAAAGACTGATATCATAACTTGTGTCTGTTCTTCCTTTGTTTATCTTGCAGTTTATTAAGATGTTTAATTCTAAAGCATATAAATTTTGGGGGAAGAATTCAGTTTCATTTAAGATTGTCTATGCTTAAACAAACAAAACAAAAATAATACTAAAACCCATCTCTCCCCAAAAACGGAAAGATAGCTAAGAGTTGCTTTTTGTTTCTTCAGATTAGGAAGGAAAATGTCACCACATCCAGTACTGAACCCAGGTCTTCACACTAAGCTATATTCCCCAGCCCTTGTTTTTATTCTGGGACGCAGTCTCACTGAGTTGCCCGGACTGGACTCAGATTCAGTCCTTCTGTCTCAGCCTCCCAGAGTGCTGGTTTTATCAGTGCCTGGCTGAAAATATCTTCATTAATAGAAACAATTTTCTCTGTAAAGTAACTGAATCAAAATGTGTTGGACTACATTGTAATTTGTATGTTTTTAAGATGGTATTTTATAGAAGAATTTGAAAAAAAAATTAATTATGAAACAAACCATAGGTAAAAATGTGGAGATGCTTAATACAATTTAGGGTTCACACATACCAGGTCACTTGCTTTACCACTAAGCTACATGCCCAGCCTTTTTTATTTTGAGACATGATCTTGCTAAGTTGCCAGGCCTGACCTCAAACTCGGACACCTCCTACATTAGCCTTCTCAGTAGTTGGTGTTAACTTACATGTGGCAACAGGCCCACCTCAAATATGTTTTGGTGCTGCGTGAAGCTGTGGTTAAGTAATTTAGCTACTGTACCTTAACCACTTAGCAGTTTACCCTGTGTCACTTGAACAGTACGTTTGTTTATGTACTATCCCAAGCATTGATTTCAAAAAGTTAATTCCTGTATTGAATAAGTTTGACAATTGTTTTCATATTTACTGTTATATTTTCCTATCAAAATTAACAAAATGCAAATCTTGGTCATCCTGTATTGGTAAGTTGTTAAATTTTGATTTCCAATTCAAGAAAAATGATCATGAAATGATAGTAGTTATTTTACCTTTATTATAAGAGAAAACATGACTTTAGTAACTGGAAGTGTATCTGTAGAAGAAGGAAAATAATGCCTTATTCTCTGCTGTTACAACAAAGGAGCAAGTGCCATCGACCAGCATCTGACTGGGTTGCCTGGCAGCCAGGAATAATCTCTGATCAGTCTTTCAGAGTGTTTTAATGACATAATCAATTCATCATTATACTGAAATGTAATGCAAAAATTATGTGCTTACCTAACTTTCACTTGTTTTCTTAGGATGCCCACCATCAAAAATTGAACCTGAAGGAACAGAGGGTGATTTACAAGTAAGTGATTTGGCTTGAAAAGAATTTCTAAACATAAAGCATATGGAGGAAATCACTAAGCTTTAATAAATAACATATAAATCACTAAGAAATTTTTGAACACACTACTATATTTGGGTTTTCCAGAGAGACAGGACCTATATGTAAAAAGAGAGTTTTGGTTTGGTTTGGTTTTAAGGAATTGGCCCATGAAATTATAGAGATTAGCTACTCTGAAATCCACAGGGCAACAGCTCCTTCCCAAAAACACAGGCAAGATTCCTGCACAAAAAATTCACAGAAGAGGAATGCAAGTTGCTAATAAGCATGTGAATACCACCATACCACCGTGTCTTAGTTCATTTTAATTAGCAGGTAGTATAAACTGACAGTTTTAATTACTAAGTGACCAAAAATTTTTTTTAAAAGGTATTATCCCATGCTGTCTTTGTCTGTGAGGTGAACAGATTGATGCCTGCCTGGAGAAAAAACAATTGACACTTTTTTCCCCAGAAAGTAGTTTTTATTTTAGTATATATTAAGAAGCCTTAAAAATAAATAGAAACATAATTGTTGATCTAGTTTGATGTAATGTATAAAAAAGAAATACAATGCACAGAAGAAGTTTGTCTGGGTTTAGTTTTATGTGGATATATATATATATTAAAGTATTAGTTGATAATAAAAAAATGAACTATCTATCCAGCAGTATAATATGATTCTGTCATGCAGCTCTTAAAGTTTTGTTTACCAATTTGCTTGCAATACATTGAGCAGTTAAAAATTACATGTTGTTATTCTTATTATGCAAAATGCTAAATATTTTTGTTGTTTACCTTTGGACTGCAATTCTGAGGTGTATAACTTACTTTTTAATAATTTTCCATATTTTTCACATTTGCTGCAATAAATATTCATGCTTTTATAACCACAGAAGAACCTAAATCTCTGAATATATTTCATTGTTCATATTATTGTAAAAAATAGTTGTGAGCCGGTAACATAGCATAATATTTTGTGTACACAGTTGCTTATTTTAATACTTTGATAATCAGAAAATATAAATGTTTACTTTAGAAAATTTGAGATACATAGCAACATTTAAAGGAAAAAAAAAGTAAAAATATCCAGGCATAATGGCGCACACTTGTAACCCTGGCTACTTAGAAAACTGACACAGGTGTATTTCAATTTGGAGGGCAGCCTGAGTAACAGCAAGACCCTGTCTAAAGAACAAAATGAGAAAAACACATAAATCTGTTAACTGTCAGTGATAACTTCCACACATTTTAAATTACAGCCTTTGATTTTTTTTGTACACACAATGCATAAAAATCTTTTCTGTGATGTTATCATTATAACTTAGCCTGCGTTTTTTTTCACTTAGGTACATACTGATATTTTCTGCACCCTTAAATATTTTCTGGGTTTACAGTTTTTGATGTGTTAGTTGTATTTTGAGTGGATGTATCCTAATTGTCCATCCTCTACTGTAAATTGAAAAGGTTTTGTATGTGTATGTGAATGTTTATTGAAGTTTTGTTTTGTTTTGTTTTTGTACCAGGGATCAAACTCAGGACCTTGGGCTTGTTGAGGCAGGCAGTGGCAATACTGAACTAATTTCCCAGCTATTGAAGGTTTTATTATGTAAATATAGTGAGTTGCAATTAGGATGTAAGAAATATGTAATACAGTACCAAAAGGATCCTTTTTTTTTTTTTTCATTTAAGTGTTTTCTAATGTTCCACAATGTTCTCAGCAGTCAAAATGTTAGACTAGAATTCAGGGAGCATTTTCAGAATTTGTCTTTTCTTAAAAATAAATTTGGTTAAACTTCAACTTAAGAAGGTAGAATTTTGATATTTTAATTATTTCCCTTACCTAATGATTATTCACTTGAATGCCCTTCTGATTTAATTTCACCTAAGTTTACATATAACATTATGGAGAGAAAAAAGCCTGCTATAATACATAGTTGTTGGCAAGACTTTGCAAATGTGGCAATCAGTTGGTTTTGTAAAAATTAGTATCTGTTTTCATAATAGGTTCTCTGCTAGTATTGTGTATGTTAGGGCTTTGGTACAGAGTAAAAAAACAAGAATAAATTTATTCTAGTGAAAGGCAAAGCAGTAATGAGAAATGCTATGTAGTGAAAGCAGTAAGAATATTTTTTGTTTTAGCCTCTTATGATCCCTGCTTCATACTAAAATGTCTCGCTGTCAGTCCAACAGTTCATTCACAGACACGCGCACCTAAAGGAGTAGTTGTATCTTAGCTTCACTATACACCAAAGTACTTGCTTAGTTTTTAATATTCATAATAATAGAAAACACATCCTATCACTAGAAACCCTCATGAAAGGGTTTTATTGCACTGCAATAGCAGTAAAACCAATTTTTCTAGCAAGTTTTAATAATTTTTTTCCATTTTAGATAAATTCTCAAATGTCTTAAATTCTCTCTTTCAGTGAAATACCCTACCGTCTCCTCAAGGGTGTAGTATTCTTAGTGAGTTGTTATCTTAGTAGAGAATTCAGTAACTTCCAAGGATGGGTCATAAAAGACATTGCAACTTCTGACTCATGGATTACCAGTTGTTGTGTTACAAGGACATCAAGCCACTCTAGATATCCATGTGGTGAGAAGCTGTAGCCATATTAATCGGCCATCTTGTGAGTAAGTCATTCAGCTCCAAGCCATGCCCTCTGATAACTGAAGTCATAGGTGGTATCTTGATTGAACCTCATGAGGAATTTTAAGTGAGACCCTCCTAGTTAAAGGTGTTTTTTAATTCCTAGAACATCCGAAGTTCTTTTGGTTAAGGCCTAAGAAAGATGTGAGGTGGTGCCAGAATCTTTTAATCAAAGTAATAAGGCTTAAAAGAAGCATGGGATGTATCCCTTAGCAGAAGTTTAAAATAGAGAAATTTCTCAGAGATCTGTCAACATGTTTTTATCTATGGAGTGAACCCCCCAGTATGATTCACAAGAGATTTACAGAATTTTCTGTTATTATTCAGGGAATCTGAGCCAGAACCACCTACTTAAGATGTCTTGACTACAACTTGATAAAGAATCCTGAGTCAGAACCACCTAGTTTTGTTGATCCAAAATTTCTGACTCATGGAAAAGGAGATAATCAATGTTGTTTGGAGCTGCTAAGTTTTCATGTTAGTTTTTTATGTAGCAGAGGATAACTACTACTTGAGCAGGGAGGAAGTTTTAACTTTTCCTAAGTTAGAATGTTAACAGATTTTTTTAACACGGAGAATTAAAATTATAAATGAAAACTTGAATATTATGATGTGTCAAAGTTTTAGTTCATTCTTCTTTTGAAGTGTATTGGATATAATGTATTCTAATTTATTTAACCACTTTATTAGAAATAAAATACATGATCTTAAGTTTCATAATTCACCTATGGGCTTGACATAAACATTTTGAGATTATTTTGAATACAAATTGACTGATTTAAGGTAGTAATTATATCATACTTATTTTCCTGATATTTTGCAGTTAAAGTGGTTTAAAGAATTACCCATTTAATTTTAATGTAGAGGAAATACTGATTATGTTGTACTTAGAACATAAACATTTAATGTATTGTCAGTGGAAATCTCCATTTTGAATATTCATTAATTTATTCAACAAATATTTGAGTGCCTGTTCTTTGCCAGTAACTGTGCTAGTCATTTGATTGCTTGCAAGTAAACAACTTTCTGCTTTTAACATGTCATTCCTTTGATTAGTTACCATAAGTAACAGAAAGTAGTTCATCTTTTATTTCATACTTGGTTTTGAAGGGTTTCATAGCAGGTTATCATTTGGATTTAAAATGGTATCTTGCTCATCTTTTATAATTAGGTTCTATTACAGCACTGATCATATAAAAACATCTAAACACTAGAATTTTAAAAGTACCTCACCAGTATTAAAAGTATAAATGTTCTTTTCATTTAGTTTCTTTGTCTATTCTAATAAAGCAGTTAAGTTTTTGTGGGTTTTTTTTTTTTTTTTTTTTTTTTTTGTTTTTTTT